CATGCCGCGGCACACGCTGGGAAGACTCAGAATTGTTCAGGTAGGAGCCTCGAAAAGTATTCCGAAGTGGCTGTAGAAACAAATCGAATCACCTGTACCCGTGAACGGTGGCAGCAAACATTTATTTTCGAATGCTAGGCGGGCCGCAAACAAATGTTTCTGCCTTTTTTGAACCTCTCTACAAGACAGGGTTGAAAGGACCCCTTAACTTTACCATAACCTTAACCATTAGGACTTTGAAACCACTTTCGAGTCTTCAAAACAATTTGCTAACACGTTCAACCTCCATAGATTAATCCAAGCCTGAAATCAAGTTCTATGCACTATCATTTCGCCCTGCTGGTTTTCACCGTCGTTTTGGCCCACATACTTCACCTCTTTTTATTTCCTCACTCCTCACCTCTCGGTAAGCCCTCATACAAACATCTACAACAAGTATGTGTGAATTTACGTAGTTCAACATGTGCTTCGCCAACGCGTTGCGTGACTCGGGCAAATCGTACCCTCTTATTGTCTTATCCAAGTTAAGGATATTTTCCGGCGTGTATGAAGCGGCCAGGTGAAGAATGATGAGGCGCACGACCAACATAAGTGCAATAAGACGCATGGACTAAATGCAAACAGCGACTGTTCTCCCTTAATATCCGGTACTTCGCCGAACCGCGAAAATCATAGGGTGAAAGTATATCTGGGACTATAAGTAAGGTACTTTATTCGACAGAAGTACATCATCTATATGTACAGTCTTCATTAACGTATAAAACCTCTAGGTCAAAAGTTAGGTAATATCCTAATTGTTCAGGCGTAGAATAAATTGTCCAATGAGGTTCTTGACCACGTAGCAACACGAAACGACGAAAAGTAAAATATTTTTTCCGCCGCTTTTGATGACTTAAAACGCTGATATGTGTTTGGGACGTTTCTTAACACCCACCCTCTAAATATTGTGACTTTCATTTTGGGCCCACCTGAAAAAACCTTGATATTCTTCTTGGTTGGACTGACCTTCCAGTTGGAATGAGCCGTCGTCTCACCGAGTTCTGTGCCTCCCCATGCGGCGTATCAGAAGCGTCAAACAAAACTTCCAGGACAAAATTTAGCTCCTAGTCATTTAATGTGCTCCCTGAGGGCCGCGTATGGTCTGCATCCCTGATCTTAGTTTACCCTTCGACGTTCAGTTTACACAGAACACTTCACCCGTATAAAGCTATTTTCCCACGTCCACACTATGGTATTGAATGCCGCAGATCTGCCACTCTAATATGAGGACGCAGTGTCTACCTGTATGCGGCAATTGAACTGGTGCCCCACTCCTTTCCTTTGTTCTTCTGTTTTGTTTGCCTAGAATTAGATGCGCCAAGAGCAGTTTCAATTTTTCAAATAAACATGATTTCTCGTGGCGATGATTGGCGGCGAGTGGGGGGGAGGGTGAACGATACCATGGCGTACAGTTGAAAAGCAAACCATCAATCAACATTTCCCCCGTCGTCCGTCCCCATTCGGCTTTATTAAAGCTCTCCCGCGTGAGTCCAGAAAAAATTCTGCCTGACCATTTCAATAAGGATGATGTTGAGGAGCACGAATGTGTTGCGATTCCCTAAACCTGTCCATTCCGACGTAAATTAGCGTGCGCCAGTACCACAATAATCAATGCCTCACATGAGAGTCACCCAGTGGTCGTCTGTTTATGGTGACCTTAGGGGTACCAATGGTTCTCTATTTACAAGCAACTGAAGGGTCAGGTTCACTTGTAGCTAGATTTGACTGAGACTGTTGTACCCAGGAACAGGTATATCCAGCAGAAGTACTGACCATGTCAGCACTTTCTGATGGTCTGTTCGTGCTCACAGCAGCCTCTGTGTTTAAAGGCGATGAACTGGTCAGACCACTCCCTTTTTGTTTTCTGCGTTGGCATGCGGTTTTGTCCCGTGCAATAGCAATATTTTTAAAGCTGCTATGTAACCCTATGTGGTCTTGTAGTTTATTGAATCTTTTGGCGTCAAATGAAGTAGTGAACTTGAAGATCACGGGGCAGCTAGACTGCGATGACCTTTTGCGGAGGCGCTTACACTCACAGTGTATTCCTGTCATACAGCATGAGTTTAATACCTTTGTCTTAACTACATCCAAGGGTGGGGTATCAGGTATGTTATAAACGATGGCCTGTTGGGACGACGATAGTCTCTTCATTACCTCCGTCGCCAAGTGGTCTATTAAGTTTTCTGCTTCCACTACATGGTCTTCAACTAAATTCTCATGCTTCCCTAGAGGATATGCTGATGGATGGAAATCCTCAACTGTTCTCCGAATCTCTCCCGTCATGGTCTTAATGTTGTCGATTTCTTTCCTGTGGTCGTTAGTACTGCCACTCATGATTGATATGTCTTCGGTTCTGACAAAAGGCATGGGGCATGCCAGATCATCGAGATCTGTGTTACACGGAGTAATAATGCTTCTGTCACACAGAAGAGCACCGGAATGACCAAGTCTTCGCTTTTTCTCACTAGAGCAGTTGATTTTAGAACGTTTAGCCTTAGATCTTCCCATTTAAAAAGACGTTAAAATCGAAGCTTATTGTTAAAATAGAAAAGAGGCGAACGGCTATACGTAGTATACCGAAACGCTGGTAACACAGTATGTGAGTAGAATAGCGGAGCTGTAAGCCAAATATATGGAATGGACTGAAACATTGCTTCAAAAATATAGAAATAAGCATTCAGACACAACGGGAAATCTGCAAATTGATATAATCAAGAACAGCGTGAAAAAGAAGCGTGTAGGTTCGACTTTACCGCGTGCCACGGACTTTACAGGGGAATTGACAATTCCCAGTGCACAATAATGTTACAAAACCCACTGGTGCTCAATGAAAGTTGGGAACATACGGGATCACAGCCAATGTAACGTATCATGATATATTTATTTATTTTATATTTATTAGTCCCTTGGGTTCCTAGTGGAACACAGGGCTTCAGCAGCACGCCTCCAGTTCACTCTGTTCTCTGGGATCTTTTGAACCTGGTTCCACGACAGCCCAGAAGCTCTCATTTCCTCCTCGCATGACCTCCTCCATGTCACCCTCGGACGTCCAACTCGTCGCTTCCCATGGGGATTCCACTCGAGCAACTGGCCTGACGCGTGATGTCCTCAGTCGGCCTTCTCAGTGCATGGCCAATCCATCTCCACTTCTTCCTGCATATTTGTTGCGTGATAGGTTCTTGGTTGGTTCGTTCCCAGAGTTCCTTGTTGCTTATTCTTTTTCTGGCCATCTGATCTTCAGCAGCGAGCGTAAGCAGTTGTTGATGAATGTCTGTAGTTTATTGGAAATCCCTTTCGTGACGCGCCAAGTCTCTGAGCCATACAAGAGCACTGACTTGACGTTGGTGTTGAAAATCCGTATCTTGTTCCGCATGCTGAGTGCAGAAGATCTCCACACTGGTTTCAGGCTAATGAACGCCTGTCTTGCTTTTCCGATTCTGACTTTGACGTCCTCGTCCGTCCCGCCTGTAGTTGAAACAGTGCTTCCTAGATAAGTGAAGGAGGTTACTTCCTTCAAGTTTCTCCCGTTGACGGTGATTGGAGTTTGTTGTTGTTGTTGATGGTGGTGGTGCGGTATCTTCATCACTTCTGTCTTCTCTATATTCACCTGAAGTCCCGTCTTCGCTGCCTCTTCTATCAACTTGTTAGTTTTTGCCTGCAGATCTTCAAGTTTATGTGACATTAGGCACAAGTCATCGGCGAAATCCAAGTCTTCTAGGTTCTTTTCCGTCGTCCAGTGTATCCCCCTCTTCTCGCTGCCTACTGTTTGCTGCATGATCCAGTCCACCACAATCAGGAATATCATGGGGGATAGTAGGCAACCTTGTTTCACTCCTGTCTTCACTTCAAAGGCATCACTGAGCTTCCCATTGTGGATTACTTGGCATGTGGCATCTTCATATAGTTGTTGAATGAGGCGGATAAAGGTTTGCGGTACTCCGTAGTATTGAAGCAGTTTCCAAATTACTTCTCGGTCGACGCTGTCAAAGGCCTTCTCAAAGTCGATGAAGTTGAGGTAGAGAGCTGATTGCCATTCTATGCTCTGTTCTATGATGATACGAAGCGTTGCAATTTGGTCAGCACATGATTTGTACTTCCTGAAGCCTGCCTGTTCCGGTCGCAGTTTTGAATCCAGTGCGTCTTTAAGCCTCTCCAGGATGATGCGGCTTAATATTTTACTTGGGGTGGACAGGAGAGTGATTCCGCGCCAGTTCTTGCAAGCACTGAGGTCTCCCTTCTTCGGCAGTTTGACAAGGTAACCCTTCTTCCAATCGTCAGGTACCTTCTCTTCCTTCCACACCTTCTGCAATAGTGGTGTGAGCATGTCCGCTGTTGTCTCTGCATCTGTTCTCAGTGCTTCTGGCGGTATTCCATCTGGTCCTGCTGCTTTCCCGCATTTCAGTAGCTTTATGGCGTTCAGGACTTCCATTTTCGTTGGGGGATTTATGTTCACTTGTAATTCAGCGGCTGCAGGTGGTATTTCTGGACGAAGTGCAGGTGGTGGTCGATTCAAGAGCTTCTTGAAGTGGTCGGCCCATCGTTTCCTCTGTTTCTCTTCTTTTGTAATTAAATTTCCTTCTTCATCTTTTATTGGTTTCATCTGTGTTGGTCTCTTCCCTGATAGCAACCTGGTTATTTGATACAATGTCGTCAGGTCTCTCTTACCTGCAGCCTGTTCTGCTTCACTTGCCAGTGTTTCGTAGAAGTGTCTTTTGTCTTTGCGTGCACTCTTCTTCACTTCTTTGTCCAGTGTTTTATACATTGTGCTCAGTTCCTCTTGTCGTTGAGCATCCTTGCACTGGTTTATCTTCTGCTTCACCATCCTCCTCTCCTCTATCAGCTTCCAGGTATCCGTCGAGATCCATTCCTTGTCTTCTTTCTTCTTCCTTCCTAATACTGTTGTGCAGGTTTCTTTCCACATAGCTTTCAAAGACTTCCAGTGTTCTTCCACACAGGTTTCTTCAGGGATGTTCCTCGATGTCTCCCATTTTGTCTTGATGGCTGCCTTGAAGATCTCCTTTGTAGTTTCATCCTTCAGTTTCCGAGTGTTGTACTTGAATTGAGGTCTATCACCAGCTTCCTTGAAGGCTTTTAACTTGATTTGGAAGGTTCCTTGCACTAGATAGTGGTCTGAACCTACATCTGCTCCTCTTCTTGACCTTGTGTTAAGTAGACTGCGTCTCCATTTTCTTGAGATTGAGATAAAGTCGATTTGATTTTTAGTGTGTCCATCTGGTGAAATCCATGTCGCTTTGTGGATATCTTTGTGCCTGAACACACTGCCTCCAATCACCAAATCGTTGAATGCACAGAATTCTGCAAACAATTCTCCATTCTCATTCATTTCACCTAGCGCCTCTCGACCCATGGTTAGTTCTCTTCCTGTGTTGTCCCCTCCCAGTTTGGCATTCATGTCACACCACCCATTAGAATTTTGATATCGCCAACTGACGTCTTGTCCAGTGTTGATTGAAGTTGTCTGTAGAAATCCTCCTTTTTCTCTTGCTCTGCATTATTTGTAGGTGCATAACATTGTATGATTGTGACCTTTCTTCCTTTTGAGTTGAATCTTGCTGTCATGATCCTGGAGGAGATTGGTTCGCACTGCATGAGAGCCTTCGATGCTCTTGAGGACATCATGATAGCCACTCTATAACTCAGGGTTGCTAGCCCTATGCCCAACCTTCCCTCTTTACCCGGCTTAGGACCGGCTAGTAACTAGTAAACTAGTTAACCAGGCGAGGTTATCATGATATATACTTCCCAAAAACAAAAAAATTAACCACCTGTGCCCGAAAGGTAGTTTGTTGACAATATAAACCTCTTACAACAAAATATCCCATTATTTGGAGTATATTGTCTGCACTTCAGCCAATTCCACATAGCAGACTGCCTGAGCACGATTAGATATGAGAAACCCGCTTCACTTATGTGCTCAAGGTCGCTTGAAAATAGGAGCCAGCCAAATTCGATTCGGGATAGCTTAAAGTAACACTGCTTCAGCAGTGCTAGCATAATATATGATGAAGAGAAAACATCACAACGGGTGGCAACGTGCTTTGAAGCGAATAATCTTATCACACATAACTTTGCCTTAAATTATAAGCACAAACTGCGGGTCCGATTATGGGTAAAAGTAGATCATTTACAATCTCATCTCACGCGGTAAGGTCGAACCTACACGCTTCTTTTTCACGCCGTTCTTGATTATATCAATTTGCAGATTTCCCGTTGTGTCTGAATGCTTATTTCTATATTTTTGAAGCAATGTTTCAGTCCATTCCATATATTTGGCTTACAGCTCCGCTATTCTACTCACATACTGTGTTACCAGCGTTTCGGTATACTACGTATAGCCGTTCGCCTCTTTTCTATTTTAACAATAAGCTTCGATTTTAACGTCTTTTTAAATGGGAAGATCTAAGGCTAAACGTTCTAAAATCAACTGCTCTAGTGAGAAAAAGCGAAGACTTGGTCATTCCGGTGCTCTTCTGTGTGACAGAAGCATTATTACTCCGTGTAACACAGATCTCGATGATCTGGCATGCCCCATGCCTTTTGTCAGAACCGAAGACATATCAATCATGAGTGGCAGTACTAACGACCACAGGAAAGAAATCGACAACATTAAGACCATGACGGGAGAGATTCGGAGAACAGTTGAGGATTTCCATCCATCAGCATATCCTCTAGGGAAGCATGAGAATTTAGTTGAAGACCATGTAGTGGAAGCAGAAAACTTAATAGACCACTTGGCGACGGAGTAATGAAGAGACTATCGTCGTCCCAACAGGCCATCGTTTATAACATACCTGATACCCCACCCTTGGATGTAGTTAAGACAAAGGTATTAAACTCATGCTGTATGACAGGAATACACTGTGAGTGTAAGCGCCTCCGCAAAAGGTCATCGCAGTCTAGCTGCCCCGTGATCTTCAAGTTCACTACTTCATTTGACGCCAAAAGATTCAATAAACTACAAGACCACATAGGGTTACATAGCAGCTTTAAAAATATTGCTATTGCACGGGACAAAACCGCATGCCAACGCAGAAAACAAAAAGGGAGTGGTCTGACCAGTTCATCGCCTTTAAACACAGAGGCTGCTGTGAGCACGAACAGACCATCAGAAAGTGCTGACATGGTCAGTACTTCTGCTGGATATACCTGTTCCTGGGTACAACAGTCTCAGTCAAATCTAGCTACAAGTGAACCTGACCCTTCAGTTGCTTGTAAATAGAGAACCATTGGTACCCCTAAGGTCACCATAAGCAGATGACCGCTGAGTGACCGAAAAGTCTGAAGTTTGGACGAAACCTCAACATCTAATGATGAAAGTTTTTTTAAGACGAGCCATTTCGGGCGTGTGATTTCTAATGTCGTAGAATAAGACTTCATAGCTAAGACACTAGCGATACACGAAAGCAATGGGCGAGTTTTACGTCCAACCCTTTCTTTCGGAAATAGTGCCACAACAACTCGAGGTTGCATCTCACGAGACACTCCCTCGGACCACTTCCTTTTGATCAAGGAATCACACACCCAGTTTTCTACAGAAATACAGGGCTGTGTTTAGATACTGTTGCTCCCGTGAAAACAGTTAGGGTTTACAAGGAGCCAGACCCATATATTCCTAAAATATTCCGCAATAAACTTAAGAAATTATCATCACATTACTACTGGTCGAAAGACTTCATGTCACTGCACTTTATTCATGAGACTTACGAATCTATCAAGACACTACATGCGAAACACGCATTAAATGAAGAGATCGTCGCTCTCAAAAGTGGCTCTAGAATACACAAGTTGACATCCCTTCTGAGTAAACGCCTGAAGCCATCAACGGATGTAGCCTATCTACTCTATAATGGGGTGGTACACAACGATCCCCTCAAGATTAATGAACTGTTTAGTGAATCATTCACTAATTTCAACCCTAATGCCCTCAGCCCCACTAGCTTTACTCCAATTGCCGCTAGTTCATGTACTAGAGTGGAGTTCACTGTCAAAAGTTTCACTGAGGCTATCAAAAGCCCGAAACTATCGACAGGTACGGGAACAGATGGCCTAAACTCAGTGGTCATCAGAAACAGTGGTGATGATATGCCACTGCTCTTGCTTAAGATATTCACACTATCAATGGAAAGTGGGGAGTATCATAGCGAGTGGAAAATTAGGTTTATAATTCCTCACCACAAGTCTGGTGACAAAGCGGATGTTGAGAATTACAGACCTATCAACACAAAGTCAGTCGTCTCCCGAATCATGGAAAAAGTGATAAAGAGCGGCATATCTTACCACCTACTTAGCGAAAACCTCATCCCAAAGTCTCAACACGGTTTCATTAAAAACAGGTCTTGCGTTGCTTGCCATTTCGATTTCTTCAACCTTATCACTAGTAGCCGCGAGGCACGTAAAATCGTCATTGTTCTATACTTTGATATATCAAAAGCATTTGGCAAGGTGCTACACAGTATTCTCTTCGATAAGCTACAATCGATTGGCATCCATGACCCCTTACTTCATTGGCCAAAATCATTTCTTAGCGGTCGGAGCGAAATCGTCAAAGTAAATTCTATGCAGTCTACACCTAGTCTCATAACTAGTGGAGTAATACAGGGTGGCGTCCTTGGACCTCTGTTGTTCATAGCTTATATTAATAGTGTGTGCAAGCGCTTCACTGTAGGAGAAACATTCCTATACACTGATGACCTTAAGGTTGTATACTCATGTCACACCCATGAACTAGGCAATACGCTACCCACTGCTCTGCAAGAATTAGGTGAAGTTGCTAAATGGTGTGACGAGTCCCATCTCCAGTTCAACATTGATAAATGTGGTTGGCTTGGCGTAGGCGGCGATAACCTAGATATGTCTCTCGAAGTTTGTGGGCAAAAGCTACCAAGGCGTTCTTCAGTGCTAGATCTTGGTCTTAGATATTTCAGTGACTTAACATTCTCTGAGTAGACGGCTTGTATCACATCCAAGTCACGCAGACTCCTTGGATGCATCGTCTGTAACTTTTATAGCACTGAATCAAGGGTCCTACTCTACAAAGTGAGCATCCGCCCAATTTTAGAGTACTGCCCGTTTATCTTAAGCGGCCTTCGTGTAAGCGACAAAGGAAAAATTGAAGGAGTGCAGCGCCACTTTACACTAAGAACACTAGGAGCTGACTGCAGCCTAGACTACATCTTGAGATGCAACATGCTAGGACTGGAACCTCTCCGGAAGAGGCGACTTAGAATGAATCTTAGATTCTACTAAAAATTACTTCGTAAGCAAGTGCACTCAAATGGCCCGGAAACTAAAATAGTTGTAACATCTACTCACTATTTGCGTAATCACAACCTTTAGCGGAAAATGAGTGTCGTAAGACCGAATTGCGAAGAAACTTCTTCATCAATAAGTTCTCTCACATCTGGAATAAACTTCCTGAGGAAATACTTACCGCAGGCACATTTCGTTCTGCACTTAATAGGCTCCTAACAGATGATCAGTCTATCACTCGCCTAGGCACTATCTATACGTTGTGGGCTAATGAAAGCATACTGGGACCTCTAAACGTATAGAATAAAGCTACCATAAATCTCAAGTAATTTTTACCTCAATGGACTCATAAAGGGTGTTTGATTACTAGTCCATCTGGTCGGATTGTGCAATGTTCCCTTTAAGTTTGCCAACAAAAACTGCCTATCTAATAACTCGTGAGAACTTCATATAAGAAGAAAAAGAAGATTCATTCTCATACGAATGAGTTAAGGTTAACATATGGCTCGAATGACTTTAAAAAGACAAGAACTTCTCTCCTCCCGGTTTGTTTTACGTGGTATTCAATTGTCCAGTTTCTCCTTGAGCTTTCTTTTCTCTTTTCTTTTCAGTATCGGTCTGAAGAGAAAGTCCTAAGCACTAGTTTGATCAAAGCGTATCAACTTACTGGAAATCCCACTTCGCACCTAGTACTGGAACTGATGTTAGAGGCATCCAACTGGCTCCCCCTGATTTCCCATTTTCATGTTTCTTTAACAGCTTAACAGCCAACTCACCCCCTACCAGTACCCTAAATGCTACCACATACGAAACCGCAAGCACAGTAACTGGTCTCAGATTTCTGGTTCGTAACAAACGCGACGGAAATCTGGATAAACAATCCAACCCGAGAGATCACTTTACCTAACGGCAACAAATCCATAATAATGCTATGCAGCAGATTTCTCTAGTACTCTGTCCTGTATCAGTCCACCTAATAGGAGTCAATTAACAGCCAATGTATCTCCTTGACAATGTTGCATACTTCAGCGTGCAGTCTATGAAGTTTTACACATGTGTAATATTCACCACTGTTGAACGACGATTATTCCACCCTTTAATTACTTGCACCACAACAAATGTTTTCAGTAATACCAATCCGAATTGCCGGAGAAGGTAACACTTGAGGAGTGAGAAACGCCTGAACTTAGACATTCACCTGGATTAAATGATTGTATGGATACTTATTCCTGAAATCATTAAAGTAAGT